TGACAATGGTCACACACCGCCCCATCAGCGGTGGTATTAGGCGCGCGGGGGAGGCCCCGTTGCGACGCTTACAGTGGTTCCCGGACTTCTCTCGATTGCAGCCGGGACGGTTATCGTGGAGGTATTAGTCGGTTGGAGTCCGACACTACCACGCCGCTTTCCCCAGAAGCGGCCTGGCGTCCGTGCGGATTTCCTCCACGTAAAATATAAAAAGAAAAAGATTTTCCCATTTCGCTGACAGAAGGGAGCGAAGATGATTACCAAAGGCCCCCGTAGTTTCGTCCTTCAGTGGTGGTTCATTGAATATCCGCATTAGCGCTAAGATTGCTGTCTCTGTGCCACGCGCAAGAAAATATTCCGTAAATTTGGTCCACGTAAGACTACTGTCCAGAACCTGCGTAAATCACTGTGTTGCTGCACCCTCTAACGCAAGACTTAATTACTACAATTTATTATATCATTTATTGTATTTTACCGTTTACAAATGTAGTGCCTCCTATTTTCATAATATTGCAATCGTATGTGATTATATATCCAATTTTGCTGCTAATTAAACTCGGCCCGCTACAGCTCAAAAAGTTACAATTTCCCGATCAAGAAGTCCATATATATTGCGACATTTCAACCGATATCTTGCGACCGTTCGTACCGAAATCTTTACGACGCAACGTATTTCAGTCGCTACATGGACTTTCCTATCCAGGAATACGCACCACGCAAAACCTGGTGACGACACGGTTCGTATGGCCGTCGATTAATAAAGATTGTCGGAACTGGACACAGTAATGTATCCCGTGTCATCGATGCAAAGTTACCAAGCGCGTATCGTCACCCGTCGGCACATTCGGAGACTTAGCAGGATAATTCGAACGCATACATATAGACATCGTGATGCAATATTCACAAGGCTACCGATATTGTCTAACGTGTATCGACCGTTTTTCGCGTTGGCCCAAAGCCATTTCCATCGTCGTCGTAAACGACGTCATTTCCTAAGTCGTAACGCAACTATTGATTTTGTTTTAGTTAAATTTTATTACGAATTCAGCAATCGCAACGGAATACACACTGAATTAACATAAGATACAATTCACTCCAACCACGTTATGTAAAACTTAGTTACAATGATACGTTAAGTACGCGACTGTTATAAGGGTAGAGTCCGGTAAAGATATGTTAACTATTCCAAGGATACGGAATAAGTGAAGTTTTACCGACGATACTGTGTCTGAGGAAAGCTAGGGGTGGGTGCGTCCAAGGACACGGGACTGTCGGATTTGTTAATGACAATTTTGGTTAGGGAAGTGAGGGCAGTAGACACCGTCTCAGATTGGATAATCAGACGGTTGGTGGACCACGAAGGGTTTTAGCCGCTCTCGTGAGAAAGTTGCTAACGGAACATACCAGACGTGAGGAAAACCAATTTTCCGTGTTAACCCGTAGTAAACAATAAACATAAAAGGAAACCTAAGACAAGAGATACTCGCTTGGTCCGAAGGACCTTAACTATGAAAATGTTAACTATGAAAAACGGTGGGTAATTAGGGCTATTGAGGGTACGCCCGAGGTGTGTGGCTTGGTCTGATGTGAATTGACGTTACACTTGCATCGGCAACTAAAAGCAACAATCAAATGCCACGATAGGAACAAATGGGTGGAAATCTTACCAATTGTTTTATTTGGCATAGGAACCGCTATCAAGGAGGACCTGAACGCAACGGCAGCCGAAATGGTTTACGGTACCAGCATACGATTGCCGACAGAATTCTTCGTACCAGCGAAGCAACAGGCCAACTCGGAATTCGCGAATCGTTTAACCCCTTCCCGTGCCATTTAGTTCGACGAAACTCGGGCCCAAGTGGTAGACATCGCATAGACAAGCGACTGATGCTCGTAAACAGGAACTAACATTCAGTCACGATCGTAACGGGTAAAAAAACAGACCGCGAGCTCGGCTTGTTATGTTTACGTTTGGCCTATGTTTACGTTTGACCCAAGTATCTAGTCAGACTCGCGATATTCATGTTTGGGCCAAAATCTTCATCGCGAGTCTGACTCGCTAAAGTACGGGAAGGGGTTAAAAGAGCGAATAGAAAAAATCAGGCCTCACCCGATTACGCGACACGGCAAGAAGAAAACCTTCGTGTTCCGCGAGCTCGAAACATCGCCATACGTATTTGTACGCCATGACGCGATCGGTGGCTCTTTACAACCACCCTACCACGGTCCATACCAGGTTATACAACGCGGAGAAAAGACTTTCACCATTAAGATAAATAGTAAAAATGTAGTAGTCTCCGTAGATAGACTGAAACCCGCATTTTTACTACATGACAACATTGAGCACCATAGCATCGAAAATCGTGACGTAGTAACACCGCTTTGTGTTCAATCCGAACAAAGCGAAAGTCGAGAAAGCGAAAATAACAGAAATACGACAAATAAATATGTCACGCGTTCGGGCAGAAGGGTCAGATTTCCTGATTGGTTTCAAGCAGGTTTCGGTTAAGCGTTAAAAATTGTCGGACACGGGAAATACCCACGTAAATTTTAAAAATAGCGACGGACAAAAAAGAAACTGTGTAAATCTATTGTAAATATAACACAAAAAAAGACGTTATTACTGGTCGGAGTGTGATATAGCGGCACACGAACTAGAGTACAAATCGAGCCACGTGTGGTCTTGCCTCGGAGTGTCAACAGCGTTAGGACATACTGTCCTATAATAAGTAAACTTCGGACAAACACAATGTCGCCGCTACGTGTAAACGTCTAACAGAGACGAATGGAAATTTATTGGTACCCGTTCGACCAGTATAAACAAACGAACGCGATTGTAAGGTGACCAGTTTATCAGTCTCAGTCACACATGCTCAGTCATACACAGTCTTAGCGAATCAGCTAGTACCGAGCGTCTTAGCGAACATTCTTTGTATCTATTTATTATTTCAAAATACACTCGACGATTTTAACAAAGAGTTATCTCGACATTTAAAACCAACGACCGATCATACTCTACAGTTCTATGATTCGTTTGTTTAGCATGTCGTTGATTTGAGTCTCAATTCCTTTTTTATGACATTCGGGAGGTAAAATAAAATAAAAATAAAATTTGATATTTATAGGTTTGTCTGTCTTGAGTGTGATTGTATGTTTAGTGCGTGGTAGTGAGTCTATTTACATGTTAAAAACGTCTAGGTAATTGATAAGGATTTTCTCAAGGGGTTCTCGAAGTTCTACATCAATATGTTTGGTACGTATTACTTGTGCAAATTTATTAATTTGCTTAGTTTATCGGCTTTTTCTATTTCGTTTGTAACGTGACAGATTTGCTTACCAGTGTTGATAAAGCATATTGTTGTGCGCTTTCCTTCGATGTATTGGGTTGAAGTTCAAGTTTCGCCTGGTACTATTTTGTTATCGGTGTTCTAGAATGATAATATAATCTCGCCTAAGGTCAGTTTATCGTTAGTGACGTTTGTATTGGTACTTTGTAAGGAATGGGAGTCCGATTAATCCTGACTCCTTCTCCAAAGGTGCGTGTTCGTTGTCGGTGGTCACCAATGTGGCGGATGAAAAGAGAGTTTGCGTTTCGTCCCGGGACTACCGGTGGACTCGTCAGTAAGGCTATGCCCGGTCCCTGCCTTAGACGTAGAGGGAGTCTCGCTAGGTGCGGTATTTGTATCAATCGCTCGTATATTCGACCGCTAGCGAGTTAGACAGACTCGTTGTCGTCGTAGTCCTCTAGTGTTGGGGCGGTTGGTACCCGCGGATCGCCCGGGAGGTGTTGCGCCGTGTTGATGCCTCGACCTGTCGGCGTCCTATTGATACCGATCCGCCACACATGTTTAGATTACAGATTTTGTCAGTGATGTGTTTGTCATTTCCCATTTGGAAAGTCTTTGGGCTGGAGGTTTGAACGTTCAGTGAAGCGTTTTCTTTTATTAATTTTATTCCTACTCTAGTATCAATGAGAAATCTGGCTCTTCTTCCGTCTTTTCGTCGCAATACGATCGATAATAATTTTCCGGTGGTGGTGCAGTTGACTCTCGGTTTCTTCTCGATCCTCCGCTGTTTGGTATCTCGAGGTGGTATCTTTTCTTGGTTGCCGAATGGAAAATTTCGAGAGTAGCGCATCTCGGCTGTGTGTTCGATTCGTGAGCACTTGGAATACTTTAATTTCATTCGGTCACCTGATGATTGGTTAAAAGCTGGTGGTTGTAGATCGGTAGCACTTCGTTTAGATACGGGCGTAGTGTTATTAGATTGATTCTTTAGGCAGTGATTTGCCAACCATTGTTCTCTATCGGCTGCCAATTGTTGGGCGAGGTTCAGGGTTTTCGGATCGTTGGGGCCCGGTATATAGCTCACACCGGTTCCCGGGCCCCTTTCGATCGCAGCCGGAACGGTCATCGTGGAGGTTTTAGTCGGTTGGAGTCCGGCACTACCACGCCGCTTTTCCCCAGAAGCGTTCCACGATATTCATGGCCACGCGTCGTTCAATCGGCGTGCGGTTTTCGTTTTGAACTGCGTAATTTAATTTATTGAATTGTTGTCGGAATTTTTGTTGAAAGATTGTACGCTTTCTGTTATTTCTTGTTTTATACCTTTCAATTTATCTCTGCAATTGCTAACAGTGGTTAATGCTGACACGTGTTGTCTTAAACATGAATATGGGTCTTCAACACCTGTGTCGTCTCGACCCCATAGTATCTCAATAGTACGTATAGCCTCTCCTGCTTGGAGGCCTTGTTCTTCGCCGCAGTCGTTCCTTTGTCTAATCGTGACGTAACTAATTCGTAATCTTTGTGAAGCGTCTGGTCCGTCGGTTTCATCATCTGTCACGTTATCGGCACTGGTTTCTAAGTGGGTGCTCGTCTGTGGCTGGTAGGTTTCAGTGTCGTATTTCATTCGTATAGTTTTTGCAATGTCACGTATTTCCTTGGCCCAGTTTCTATCACTGCATTCCGCAAATTCTTTTATTTTGTTAATGTTTTGTTAGATATTTCTTCTGAAGTTTCTAAACTCGTGAGTTCGAGAATAGTAGCAATTAGTTCGTTTCGCTTTGCCGTACTCATGTTAGTTGGATTCATGTTGATAAATATGATACTTTCAGGAGAGTCACTATCTTCGGAACGTATTTCGAGTCTACTGTTTCGATAATGTACGAAAGCCAGCTTACCGAGATTCCGTAGAATCCGTAGAGTTGCCGTTGAAGTTTCCTCTTGATGCGACGAATGGATCCTGGCAAGGATAACCAATTTTATCACGTAAGAGACACAAGAAATCACGAAAATGATAGATCGCTGGTGATCTCCTCGCGTCGCAGTTCAAACATTTCACAAATAAGAAATTGAACTTTGTATATGGTAATAGAATTTATTAACCCAAACCCAACAGAGTGACGGTTCAAAGTATTACAACAGACTGATCCCGAGCGCTTATTTGGGAGGGTTTTTATACTAAGGTTTTAGTCCCTCTGTCCCCTCTGGAGGGGTTGTCCTCTGGTGTATATCAGAGGCGGCTATTCTGTTACTATTTAGTTATTGTTTCGATGGCTGTGACACGCAGGATCTTTAGCCTATCCTATTACTGTTTCTAAGCGTGTGGCCTTCTTGAGCGTGTAAACTACTTCCAAAAAAAAAAAAAAAAAAAAATTCACACGTCTTCCATAGACTAAAAGCTAGCTTTTTGCCGAATTACGTCGCCTGTTAGAAAAGTCACGTAAAAAAAGTATGTAATTGTCATCGGCTTACATCGATACTACATTTAAACAGCCTATTTCATTAAACTTTCGCCGCTGATTTTATTTCAAGTAACCATGTACTACTAATAGATATCGATATAAACAATAGCCAAAATCTATTGGTATTTGTAAATAATGTACCGCGGTGGCTGGCGCGTGTATGCTCTTCCGCGAATTCGACGGAAGAAGCGTGAGGATATCGATGGCACATTGGGCACGTCGGTGTTGCGCTTTGACAGCGTAGCGCTTTGTATCGCGAAACCGTTGGGAAGTTCCGTGGCACGTGCCGCCACAGCATATCAGGTCAAAACGTACTGATTCTGTTATAATGGTCAAAATGTATTGAAGGCATTGAATGTATTGCGTATATGTATTATATATATTAAATTTACTTCCTTGTTGTATTTTATTACTACAATGTTTATTATATCATCTATTCCATTTTACTTTTTATAAATGTAGGATTTTTTTATTTATTTAGAATGGATTAAACAGGAAACAATGCTTATTTAAATTGAACTAAATATAGTAATGTGCTGTAACTAAGACAACTAAATAGTTAATGTGACTAAATAGTTACAACTCTCGTCACCACGGTTCTGTCACGTAAAAATGACAGGAAATAATAATAAAAATAATGTTGGGTTCTTGAATCAGAGTTCGAGATACCTTTATTCTATAATAGGAGTACACGTTTACGATTAGGCCGTTACCGAAAGACAGAAAGCTCGATCAAGACCCAGCCTTTCTAGATGTTTGTTTATCTTATGCCTACGTGACGAATTCATATTCCTTCGTTTTGGGAGTTGGTGTATTGTGCAAAGCTGTTCAGATTTCCTGAGTTGGTTGTAGATATTCATTGACGTTACAGTTCCAACGCTCTCTTTCACGCGGACCATCCTCCTCGACAACGATAAAAAAGGAAGAGCTGACCAATAGCTTAACTTGACTGTCCTTTAATGTTTTTATATGCTTTTATTCACCAAAGTGGTTAAGTACAATATTACAATGAAGTAGCGAAGTTACAAAGTATTAAAATAGTTGTTCAAATCATGGCCAAGGCTATCCCCAAGACTAGTCTCGTGGTCGAATGTTCGCAGTTTTTATATGTTGTTTGTAGGAGTTGAAGGACAAGGAGAGGATGCTGAGTGCCCTACTTAATAGGGAAAATTTAGTGCTAGGCCATATGCAAAGGTCAGGTCAAAATCTAATGGTTTATTGTCAGGTGTGGAATGGCGTGGATTTGGGTATAGTCGCTGTTACACTGACAACACTCTTCGACAATGTTGATCACCTATAACTTCTCTAAATACAAGGAAAGAACGGCAACACATCCAAACCAGCTGGCTGCCGAAGAGAGCAAAACTCTCATAGAAAGAAGACTAAAAAGAAAACATCCCACTGACCTCATTAACACGTTGACGGGCACGCGTGTTTTCAAAGAAATCTCCGTCAGGCCACGCGTACAGCAGTACAAAGCGTTCTCTGCTAGGTGCTCCCTATCGATATTTTAGTAATGCGAATCGCTCCAGTGGTGGTCTCGAGAA